AGTGGTGTCTGTATATACAAGTATATAAAAATAAATTACCCATTTCATTAACTGTTAAAAGAAGGAAAGTCTACATAATCAGCCACACTCTGCCTACTTACATTGTCATTCAACACATCTAATGTCAATACATCATCCGGTAATGACTTCAGATTTTGAGACATTAAATCCATAAACATTAGCGATCTTACACCTCGTCGTTGACTGCCATGGTAGGTTGCGATAAGGTCTTCAGGATCTTTGGGATGATATGCCCAGATCACTCTCACAGTATCACTCTTTAATATATAGTATATATATATAAAATACATAAATTGATATTATATATAAAAAAACATTATAAGAGGAAACTCATACCAAAAGATAATAATTGTAGACAATATACAAGGAAATTATAATTTATTCCAGTAGCTAGATAATTTTCTTTTCGTGACCTTTGCATTACAGTTAATTTAACTTCCCAAATTTATTAAAGGTATTCTAAGAACCATTTCATGGTTGGTAGTACATTTTAAAATGTTTGAAATGTCAAAGTAACATGTTATTGAAACAAGCAAAGGAATTAAATGGTTGCTAGTCAATTTAGATACCAAAATATACATTAATTTCGCTAAAAAATTAAAAAAAAAATATTATAACTTACCATTCATTATTATTATTATTATTATTATTATTATTATTATTATTATTATTATTATTATTATTGTTATTATACAAAAAATACAATGAAATTTCAAAAGACAAAAACAAAAGCCTAAAAGAGCAAAAAGGTCATCCAATAAACATTAAGAAACAGACAATTCTTGTTGTTTATTAATACGTGTACGCTGTACGGGAAAGCAGAATATGAGACTTACAGTTATATCATAGTCATCAATGTCACATGTTAAAAGTTTGCGTTGGTATCCAATTATTGTTAAACCATCAGTTTCACTTCCGTACAACAATTGATAATCATCTTGAAAATCAATCACTGGCTCTTCGTTGCTAACACCGTGTCGGTCCTGTAAGGCGAGTTTAGATTTAAGATTAAGGTGTTTTGCAATCCAGGGCTAAATTATGACTTAGTGATACCAGATTTACAATAATACAGGGCAACCAAACAAACACAAGACGTTATTGTAACTTTGGCGAACGTTGTGGTTAGGTATAATCAGAAAATGATTAGTACAAGAAAAATACATCTTGAGGTTGAAAAAATTGCAACAGAATGTCTGTTTGCACAGTGCATTATCTTAGGGTCTTTGTATGAACATACTAAAAGCCTAGAAAAATCGACATAGGGAAAGTGCGTTTTCTTTCAAAATGGCCGCCATAAATAGCTAGTTTTAACCAAAAATTGAAAAAAACTTGGATCTTTTCAACATATTTCAGCATATTTTTTTTTTCTAGAACATATTTACAAATCCTAAAATTGATCTGATGCATACGGATACACTTATTTGATGTGGGTATCATTAATTTCAAGATGGTTGCCGCAAATACGAGGACATATTGGTGTATGCATAATACGCCAGGCAGCTATAGAGCCATATGGACGTTTTAGGCAAAAGCACCAACTTTTTACATGCTCCTTATGGTCATAGCATTCAATTTTTGATAGAAACCATTTTACCGGAGGTCGTTATGCCAGCCATCTTAGATTTTAAAATGGCCACCTTATAAAACCTGTGTATCTTTATGGTATTATTACATCTTCAAACTTGGAATTATAATTCTAGTGTCTAAATGGTTAAGGAATACTAGCATGCCATTTTTGCCCTCGTAAGGTTGTTCATTTAAGGTAATTATAATTTAAGGTCATTAAATGAATAATCTGAGCATATTGTTCATTAATGTAAGATCATTCAAGGTCATTCTAGGTCAAATATTGTATGGCATCTTAATAATGACCTGTAATGTTTTACATCTGAGTCATGCTAAAGTTCTCGAAATTCATTTTTTACAAGAAACTACATTACTTCATTCAAGTTCATTTTGGCAGCCATCTTTAATTTCAAAATGGCTGCAACGCAAAAACTATTTTATTATTATCTTAGCTTTTAGAATCACTTTAAATTAGAATTCTGATGTTTAAAACTACGTTTTTATAGTCAAGAAAATAATATTTTTATTTTATACCATTTGTGACATAGTCAGATGGTCATTAGGATAATATATAATGTCAGTTAAGGTAATTTTATGATAAATACCATATCAGAGGTCGTTATGATGTCCATTTTAGGTCAAGGTGATTTTGCAGCCAAATTAGAGAAGGACATAAAAACATATATGTTTACTTTATAGAATCACATATTGACTTTACCAACTGTGACATGGTCAAATGATTATTATAGTCATAAAAAAATAAGTTAGTTAATGCCATTTAATTACGTTTCAAGTCACATATTGTATGACATGTAATAATGAACCTTTTCGAGTTTCAATTTCAAGATTCCATTTAATGTCATATACAAGCTAAGTACACGAAATTTCCTTTAAAGGGCGAGAATTACAGAAAAATATACCCACAAATGAAAATACAAGACAACTATAAATATAAAAGTATACAGTGCAAAAATATACAATATATACATTACAGTTTAAGTGTAAAAGATTTAAAATATAAAAGACCGAAAAAGATATGACTATCTGGTGAATACTTTGTTAAATAGATGACAAGCATATATAGATGAATGATCGGGTAGAATCAAATAGATAGTTTCATCTGGTTTTGTAATGGTGTATATATATATATATGTATACTGTCTCTTATACACATCTAGATGTGTATAAGAGACAGTATAAAACCTATATATTATATTATATTATATATATGTATAGATATATAATGTAAAAACAGTGAAAAAACGGTGTACAATCATTGAAAGTTGAAACACAAATTTATTCAGCTATAATAAAATCAAACGGATATTTCAATAGCTCCTTCTATCTTTATCAACATTAAAGTTCACCAAGCAACAAAGCCAAGGAAAGAATGCAATATTTTTACCTTATACATAATTGAATGACATTAAATGACCTATTCATGACTATAATTTCCTGACCATGTCAGAAATTATACAATGGTATTGTTTACTATGTACAGTGCACTTAAAACAAATATTCTTAACATTAATACAGGCTTTACATGGTCGTTATCTAAAAATTCAAAATGGCTGCTAAATGACATTGACCTAATGAAATCAAATGATTTTAAAATGGCTGCCATAATGACTTCTTATCAAAATAATCGAATTCTGTGAGCTTAAGTATAATATTTACATTAAAACATGACTGCTACCGGGAGGATATCACAAAGTATTAAACATAAAATGACCTTGATTGACCTTAATTGACCAATTTATGACCATAATATCTATCTTAACATGTCACAAATGGTGTGAATCTTCGATCATGAAAACATAATTTTAGACATCAGGATTCAAATTTGAAATGTTTTAAAAGCTGAGAAACATTTTTATCCATGGCAGCCATTTTAAAATCCAAGATGGCCACCAAAATTACCTTGAATAAAATACTGTAGTTCCCATCAAAAAACTGAATTCTAAGAGGTTGAGTATGTTTCTGATGTAAAACACAACAGGTACTGTAGGCCTCCGGGTTTAATAAGATGCTATACATTATGTTAACTGTAATGACATTGAATAACCCTAAATAACCTACTTATGACAATCTGACGCTGTACAAGTTGTATGATATTATTTCTTGAACATAAAAACATATTTTTGGACATTACAATTTTAATTTGAAGTGGTTTAGAAGCGGCGATATAGATAAATATATGTTTTATATGGTGGCGATTTTAAAACCGAAGATGACGGTCGCTTTTATAAGATATTAGCATTATTCTATAAAGTACATGCATTGGTTGCTAAATTTTAAAAAACTTAGTGGCCATCTAAACAATTACAAGTTTATTCATAATTATGACATATTATGGTGACATTACGATTTTTTTCTCATATTTTTATCTATTTTTTCGGCCATTTTGAATAAAACAGATTTCCACATATTTCCCCTACTTGGATTTTTCTAGACATTTAATATGTTCAAATAGGCACCTTATAGAAATGCACTGTGGTAAAATAAATTCTGTTGCAATTTTTTCAACCTTTCACTAAATTTTACGCTAACTTTCTTGTACTAGATGTTAACATCACGTCTAAGCAACGTTGTAACTTTATAGTTTTTTATAATGGGGTAAAAAGGGCACTTATGCATCTATAAAACACCAAGGAACCACATTACATCTATCTAACGTTGTAGTAACGTAAATTGTTATTTGCAGTTACCCTCGAGTGACTAATAAAAATACTGGTAGCACTTTATATAAATTCGGTTATTTATTACACTTTAATTTGTAATAAATCAGTTAGTCTCTCTATAAAGTGCTACCAGGGTTTATTTCATTCGTCAATAGCCAGACTAACCTGAGGCTACAAACTGTCAATACGTTATAAGAGGTTTTAGTGATGGATGATATCTTGTTAATAAAGGTACCTCATTAACAGTTTGTATTTGTTGAGAAAAAAAATGTTGTCTAAATCCACCACCAAATCATATAAAATTATATAAAAATTCATTTTCAAAATGGCTAGACACAATTGATAGTAGAACAAATATTTGGGACGCATCCAACAACCAGCTGAGTACTATCAAATGTGTTAATGTTACTGTTGTGGTAGCCGTCTTCTTCAGAAGATAAAATTATTATTATTATCAATTATTTTGAAATCATGCTACACAATTATCTTTTTATCTTATTGAACTTAAAATTGTCGAAGGAAGTTCGAAAAGAGAGCAAGTGTCTCAAACAAACATTCTCAATCTTAGATAGAGGACACTCACTAACGTATCTTTAAAGAAGATACGCTGTTTGCCTTTAAATTGTATTGAAAACTGTTTTGAGTTGAAAATCAAAATTTGAGTTTGGGACATCAAAATCTACAGGTTGATTGTGTTATATATGTTAACAATCTTAAGTGGTAAGTCACTACATCCTCACATTCAGCACTAGTTTTTACCTAGGGCTCGGTTGGTAGATCTCGGATAAGTACTTTAAATGTTCCCGTGTACACATCTGGGTCGTTGTCACTTCTGGAGGAGTAAGGGGTTACCCCGATGCTATAGTTTATTTTATCCCCAGTTGTTGTGAATATAGAGTTACTATAGGTGCCTCTTTACGGTGGCTAGGTATTCACGGCGGCTAGGTATTCACGAAAATAGTGTCTTTACCTTTAAAGTGCATCTGCACAAGCTAGATAATGCCCATGATATGATAAGTTCGCATTAATTGCGGAAATACATCGCCTTATACAACTTGTATTGTTTCCGATGTAAAACATGTAACTCGTTATTAACTTTATCATATAACAACGGCTGTAATTTTACATGTAATCAGAATTTCTATAGATTTATGGTCTTTAAAATCGCAAGCACTTAAAAATCAAATATTAAAAATGGCATCAAACATTAAAACCATCAAACGTAAAAAGAAAAACTTTAAAATGTTAATAAAAGACATTGAAAATAAACAGAATATAATTTTGTTTTAAAGCTAGTAAAATCAAAAATCAAAAATTATCAAAGCCAAAAGATCTCATATACCTACATACATAGCTGAATTGTAGATTTTGAAAAAACAACAAAATACTCATATTGTAAATATACTATTAATTAGTATCGAAATATTTAATGAAAACACTTATATGTAAATAGTGTACTGTTGATATTAGTTCGTAAAATCTTTAATACTGTTTAATAAATAATAATATAAATAATAATAATAATAACAATAATAATAATAACAACTAAAGAACAATTTCGGAACTTATATACACACCACTGTTATCTGTTTTAAATATAAAATAAACCTTAACTATATATAAAAACATCAAATTTTGTTACATCCAATTTAATTTGAATATTTATTTATTCTACTTATAAACGTAAGTATAAACAATTTTATGTAAGTGCTGAGAAAGCAAGAAGGCAGAGCCAGTGTTTCTGATCCCGGGTCAAAATAATATTGTAACTTAAAGATTGATGCAAAATTGTTGTTTTTTTTGTTTTTTTTTTGTTTTTGTTTTGTTTTCTTTTTTGCTTTAATATTTTTGCATCTACTACAAACTATCGATTTTGGGTGAAAAGACAATGCCAAATGTTGGTTAAAATGCATTAGAATTATGTCTATAAAATAATGAGTATTGACTTACCGAAATAAAAGGTTTGCCATCTTTAACCCATCCAATCATAATGTCTGCTCCTTTCATTCCACCATTACTTGAAAGCCCAATCCCAACGTAGCCAGTTGTTTTTGCACGAACCTCAAACACAATAGTCTCATCTTCTACCCTCCAGAGGAGTTGTACATTTTCCTCACTATCGAGAAATGTTTCATGTTTTAAGTCAGTCTGACCACTAACTAACACAATCCACCATGACATAAACAGAATACAAAACATCATTTGACGACTGTTTAATGGCATGCTATCTCGGAGAATTGTAAACCCTCTTGCGACCTGTTTATACTGCTTAAGTTATTGAATATTGACCTGAACTATTCGACTATATAAGTCAGTTGATATGCATATGCATAATTATGCGTACGGGGAATTTCCTGTGTTATTTTATTTTTGTAATATTTTAAGAGTCTAATATCTAATATCTCTTTGTTATAAATACCATAGTACAGTTAAATACATACCATGATATTTTAGTATAACTTCTACTTTTTTTTTCAATTTCCCGTATATTTCCAGCAAACCATATTTATATTTCATCAAAATCAAATATTTATATTATTACTTGTCAGCTTTTATTTGTTAGCCTGTTTTGATCCACTGCTAGATGTAGGCCTCTCCCTACATCAATTTTCCACTGCAGTTTTCTTCTGTGCCTGCTAGCTCTGGTCGTTACAACTGAACTCTTTGATATCGTCAACTCCACCGTTTGTTTGGTCTCTTTTTTATTTCTTTAAGAGGTGTCCGGTCTTTTATCCTACGGGACCATTTATTGTCATTTCTTCTTTTGATGTGTCCTACCCAGACCCATTTTTAAAAATGTTGTTTTATTGTGTCATTTATTTTTATATTACTAGTGGTCCAGGTTTCAGCTCCATTTGTTCAACTGGGATGATATACTGAATAAATAGTAAGCTTTTAAGGTTGTATGGTATGCCATGATCTCTGAAGATATAGGTAAGTTCTCATAATTCAACCAAGGCTAATTGTATTCTCCTCTTAATTTCCACAGGTGTCCCGCTACTGAGACTGAATTTCATCTCCAGATATTCATCAACTACTTCAACACGATAGACTGTCAAAGTCTGTTACATACGGTTTATTATATATAGTCGTTGTCGTCCCTAAATTCATCTTTATGCCAACTCTTTCAGAGTGTACATCCTGTAGCATCAAATACTTCAACACGATGGTCTCTTACTGCAAAGTCTGTTACATACGGTTTATTATATTGTAACAAAATGGTGCAGTCCACCCCCTATTATAAATAGATTAGGCCACTCCCTAATGCTGGGAGGGAGAAACCGCCACAATATATAGTCGTTGTCTTCCCTAAATTCATCTTTATACCAACTATCTTTTACTTTCAGAGTGTATATCCTGTAGCATACTATTCAACTCCTTTATGCCATGGCTGATAAGTAAATATCATCCGCCAATCTAAGATGTGTCAGATGCTCTCCATCAATTACAAGGCCCCTTTTAACGCTTAGATTTATTCGAATACTGCCGTGAAAAGACGTACTTTAATCTCCTTTTATAGGGAATTCGTTCGTTATGACTCTTCTAATGTATTGTTAGATATTAGGCGCCTAAAGATGTTTGAGTGCACTTATCATGGCCCACTGGTCTAAACTATCAAATGCTTTCTTGTATTTTAGAAATCATTCTCTGCACGGCGGTGTACAAGTAACAAATCAAAATATTTAAATATTGCTATCACATTTTGTTTTATAGTGTGTTATCTTACTTTAGGATTTGTTGTCAGGTATAAGTATGTCGACCTCTAAGTAAATTACGTATTATCCTGAGAATGCCCATTAGGACGTGGTTTTGGCGAATAGTATTGCTAATTTGCCTTAGCCATCTACTGCGAATTCACATCGCCCTTTTGTGGGTCGTGATGCTGAGTGAGTTGCTTCGTCGTGCTCCCATTATCAGGTCACGGTAAGGTCATCAGAGTCGGGCACATGCTTGATAGCCCCTCACGCTCGGGTTTTTAGGTCGTGAGGGGGAAATGGATGCTGAACAAGGTGTTCATGTTATGAGTGAGCCCATTGGATTCATCATAACAGTTATCAACTTGCCATTTTAGATCAGTGTCCGGACGAGTTTCAGGTGATCAAGACGCTCTGTCAGAGGGCACTGGTCGTATGTCTCGGCCTCAATACTGGTTTATTTCATCTCGGCATAGAGAAGGTAAGTGTGGTGCAAGTACGTTCCAATCCAATGTTATCCTGTCACAACCAAGTCTATCTAGGTCTAGTTCTTCCAAGCTAAGCCATAGGCACAGAGAGCCATTTGAGTTCCCGTGGAGCACTCCCTCCACCCCCCACCCCTTAGCTGGAAGCCAATGGCTCTGAATAATCCCCATGAAAAGGATGAAGGAGTACCCTACAGTGCTCATGTACTTAGATGGTATTAGGCGGAGCCCAAATCCTTACGGAGGACTGAAATGAGTTCTTGATTAGGCTGGGCCCAAATTCGGAATTGGAATCTTATTTCAAGGCTCCGGACATGCCTAAGCTGTTGCACTCGACCATAAGGAGGCCAACTACGAGTGTTGTAAAACGATTAACATACTTCGGAGCATCCAGGAGGACCTGATGCAAACGGCGTAGCCTCTTTTCAAGACAGTTGAAGGATGAAGGTGAATGATCTAATACAAAAGGGCGATGTGGTAATTACCATCGACCTAGAAGATCATATTTCTTGGTTCCGGTGTTTAAAAGCTAGAGGAAATACCTCATATTCATCTGGGGAAAGCTGATATACACATTTAAAGTGCAGGCAAGGTAGTGGCAAGAGAAGAAGACGTTTCTCAAGGGCCCTTCATCGAGATCTGATTTAATCATTTTTTAAACATGCTATTTGCTAAAAAAATGTTTGTAAAGGCTAGATTTTTTCCCCTTTCTTATAATGGGTAATGTAACCTCCTTTTCAGGCGATAGTGCACCTCAGGTTGCACATTGTAGCCTACGGGTCCTAGCGCGATCTGTACGCCCTGGAATTGAGCGTTGACGTTTCGTTAGCATTTCTGGATCAGCGTATTCCTATCATATGAACATGCATACAACAAATAGGCATTTGTTAAATCCGCGCCTAGACCATTCCGTATGTTTAGCCTAGGCCTAGAGCATTTAACGTAGGCTAGGAAACAAACATTTATATAAATCGATTTTTAATTTAATATTTTTTTAAATGTTTTTCCTACCAGAAGTTTGACCACCACTAATTCTCAGGCAGTTACACATGCATCAAATTTTAATTATATTTAAGGCAACTATAGCACTTATTAGGCATACAGTACTTTAATCATGTTTGTTATTGTTTACAATATTCTGTGTTTTTAGTTGGGGCTTATTCAGTTAGACTGAATTGAGCCTTATGTAATAGTAAATCAGTGCAATTAGTCATGGTATATTAATGTAATATCATCAGTCAACTTCTTTTTATTTACATAAAGCTTTAGAAGTTGTTTAATTTAAAAATAAACCCCACTGTTTTCCTTATTAAAGGAGGTAAAGTTTATCAAGGTCTAGCTTTTGGGTTTTGAGTCAATTTAATTCTATTCAAAATTCATATTGTTAAATAATTATAATTCAACTCATGAAATACAGGCTGTATTTCATTTTCAGTATTGTTTCAATATAGTTGTATTATTTTATTTAAAAAATATACATTATTTATCTACAATATTATTTAATGCAGTATTTTGCTGTTGCAGTTATTTGCTGATAAAAATAAAATCATTTCTAGCATTCCATACTATATAAATTGAAAGATTTTCTAAGGCAATATAAAGATAAACTAGACTTACTATGTCTGTTTGAACTACAGAACATAGGGCGTTTCCCCGTTGCTTTAATGAGAAATGAAGTTGAAATTGCAACAAAAAGAAAAGTCGTTAAACGGTATAAAGTATATAGTAAAAAAAACACGGAAAAACAATATAATTTTAATGAAGTTGAAAAAATGAAGTGGGGGAAACACGAAAGCCAAGTTCACTGCGACATTATCAGTGAGACTTGAACTATGGCTGCAATGGTACTAGCGAGGTACATCTGACTCAAAACCATTGCCCGCTATAATATGAGCCGACCTTGCATAGGAAAGTGCATCTTCAATTCATAGCGATTCAATGAATGAAAGCAAAAATTGTTCATGCATATCACGGTAGATTTGAGTTTAACCTAGCTGTAACTGGTTTAAGCGCATTGGAAAACGCAGATTGCGTTTAAATAATTTAATCAATTGTCAACAAAAAAAATCCACACCCTACTGTGGATCGTTACCAAAATCGTATCATTTCTTAATTTTACCACCGAAAACTATTCTGCAGTGTCATTTTATTCATCTATAACTGTGATGTAAGCAATTTAAATGACTCTCAAATTTACACCCTAACCTGGATCGTCCCCTACACATAGTAATATCTTCCTTGTAACTTGGGTTAAACTTTTCCGAAGGTTTCATTCGGATCAGTTGACCCGATTTTGAAATATCTGGTCTGGAACGTTTTCCTTTAAATGGTCCTCACATTCACACCCTACGACGGATCATCACCTTTACAAACTATTATAGAAAGTTACATTTACACCCCTTGACATTTTTTTAAATAGATATTTACTTTTGGGATCTCAAAAAATTAAATGACCCTCGAATTTACACCCTTGTCTGATTCGTCGCCAACACATAATACTATCTTCCTTGTGAACTTCCTTGTTAAAATTTTTCCGAATATTTCATTCAGATGTTCGGTTGATCCGTTTTCGAAATATGCGGCCTCGGACGTTTTCATTTCAATGGTCCTCAGATCTACATCTACTCCGGATTGTCACAAACATTTAATCATTTTTTAAATGGTAATGGTTGGAGACTTACATAGCGCATAATACATGGTCTCTGTGCGCTCGGGACTAGATGTTGCACTTTACAATAAATTTCTCCTCCCCTTAGGGTCACTTCATGTCTTCAGCAGCCAGTAAACCGGTGCACTTTCATCTGTCCACGACTGGGGCCGAATGAATTAGTAAACCGGGGTAACCCCCTACTCATCTCGAAAGATGTACTGGGTTCATTAAAGTGCACATGAGCATTTGTGTACACTGGGCCTACGGTTTATAGTCCTTATCCGAGAAGACTTGTTCCACCACCAGAACTATAGGAGCGAGCCGGCCGCGAACCCGTGCCAACATTGTTGGCTATGATCACGGTACCCCTGCTTTAACCGCTCGGCCATTTTGCTCGAAATTATTATAGAATGACGTTTCATTTAGACCCATTGGTTTTTTTTTTTTTTTTTTTTTTTAAAGAGATATTTAGGTCTGGGTCCTCAAAAATTAAAAAGACCCTCAAATGTACACCCTTCACTGGATCGTCACTAACACATTAAAATTCCTTCATGTAAATTTCATTCAGATAAACTGACCGGATTTTGAAATATCTGGTGGAAACTGTTTGACCTTAAATTCCTTTAATTGGTTCACAAACGCACACCCCATATAGAATGATACTAAATATTAGGAGACACATCATTGATATATAGCCTATGCAACGCACGGGAAAATTCTAAGCATGGGAACTGAACGGCAGGGACGGCAAACAAAAAATAGTGCAAAAAGATAGGAAAAATATTATAAATGCAAGAAAAACAATCAGAACAAAAACAATGGCTTTTTTCAGTACTACGGAGAAAAGCTAATAATCCAAACTAATTCATACTGGGTCATTTTAAGTAATTTTCATTTGAAGTTGAATTTAATTACTAACAAGTACTAACAAGGTTTCTTTGTAGGTTGAAATAACTTGCCCTATTTTTTTGGGGATGTGAATACCGATTTCTAAAGATGGGTTCTACAGTAGAACCCCTGTTAAGGAGACACCTTCAGGACCAAAAAAAGGTGTCCCCTTAATAGGGGCGTCCCCTGAATAGGGTACCCATATTCAGGGAACACTAGCCAAAAACGTGAAATTGTCCCCTTAATAGGGTTTTGTTTTTGCATGTTTTCATACTTATTCTTTATAATTATATTTTTATTGACATAATTAGTTACAGTAGAATTTTAACTAATTCAATAATTTGCAATATGCAAATACACTTCATTTATAACATGAAATCTGCAGAAACGTAATTAAGACAACAATTAAGTCAGCATGCTGACTGGGTTCTGTTTCTGAGCAGTTTCTTCTCTCTCTCTCCCTTCCTCTCCCTCCCTCCCTCTCCCCCTCTCTCTCTCTCTCTCTCCTTCCTTCCTTCCTTCCTTCCTTCCTTTACCCAGTCAGCAGCATGCTGTGCCGATTTCAACCAAACCTGGTCAGTATAATTGGTGACACCTCTTATATTTGGGGTGTTCACTGCTTGGGGTCAAAGGTCACACAGGGGTCATTAGGGTAAAACACTTTTTGAATAATGAATAAAAGATTTCTTCTGTCACAAATAACATAGTACAGTCTTGTCCTGGTCACATATGTATTGACATAAGGTAGGGTCTTTATGGTTTTTAGCGATTTAAGGTCAAAGGTCTTTAAAGGGTTAATCTTTTGTTCCCTCTAGTAACATTTCAAAATGCTACTAATGTCAAACCATTGGACCAAATTCAATCAAATTTCGTCATTAAGTACCGGCGACACCTCCTACACCCCAGTCTGGAATCAGGGGTCACAGGGGTCATCGGGGTTAAATTTTTAAAATGGCCCAATTAGGACCTTTTAAATACGAAAAATACTCTTCACCCCATATGTCAAAGTTTATAGGTCAAAGGTTAAAATGTTACTAATGGCAAACAATTGAATTATGAATCATTTTGGCCCTTTATATCCTTGGGTACATAATTGCAAAATCTTCCTCTTGCTCAGTGACAAGTTAAGTTTAGTGATGGTAGTAGACCTGTACATAAAACCTCAACCTATATTCTTTGTCTAAACATAGTAGTACTGTACTATGCTAAAGATTTGATCTGTCGGCAGGGTCAATGTAGTAGTAGTACAGTTTAATCAAAGCACAAATATAATCTGTCGCCAAAATAAAGCGATTCCGATTGATGCTGTAAATCACAGCCGTTTTTGCACGGAAATTGTCACTTGGTGAATGTCCCATAAGAGACATGTGTAGTGTCCTAAAATTGTACAACATTCCATTATAGGCTACAACTGGTTTTAACTGATGGTCATAATATTAATTATAGGAACACAAAAACATCAAATTTAGGATTTTACAACATCTTGTAAGTACTTTAACTAGAATAATTTTGATTTTAAAAGAAGAGACTGTTATCTTTTATTCTATTACTAAGTATTTTTCCCCCTCACTTTCCGGTATTCTTCTGTTAGATGTATTTCATCGCTACTGAGTATTTTAGTTAAAAACATACAAAGAATAGCAAAACGCTCTGATCTTAATAAAATAATGCTTAATAAATTATTTATGTAATTAAGCTTATTGCTTTAAAATTAACCATTAAATTGATGGCCGGCCACGATGTGACATTTTGTTATTGATCCAGGGTTGTTTTCCTTTGCTGTTTTCTTTTGCGGTTTCCTTTTGCTACATATAGTTTAACAGGAAGGTATTTAAGTAATCGTTGTACTGTATAATTTTTTTTCTAGATCAATATGGTGTTTAAGAGTATGAGTTCCGGGGCACGACTAGAGCCATATCAATTGTCCTCGAACCAACCATCAAATCAAATCGAACTCAATATTTTATTTAAACATAATCTTTGACAAGTCCTCTCATTGAAATTTTCTTTTTATTTGTGTTAAAACATTTTAACATTGTTACACAAATGTCTATTTATTAATATTCATGCATTACATTAACTTTAAAACAAAACTTGTAAACAATAAGGTGCAAACTTATCTTATATCTTACAGCAGCTCGACAGTAACTTCTGTTTTTACCTTTAGACGACTGCATCGTGCCTGAGTTTCCCAATCAACTAGTGCCAGCTACTTTTGTATGTCCAGGGTAATATATACCTAGTATTATAATCACAATTGGCTATCGCTTCGTAATTTTTTCTATGTATAGTAATTTTCATCTCTCCTTTAACGAAAACTGAGGTAAATAATGCTACCTATATTGAGAAAAGTATAACAACTATTACACATGTGGCAGTACTCAGCAAAGCTGCTGTCAAATTCACGGCAGCTGAACACTTGTCATGTTCAACAATTTGGCTTTGAAAATCGATTATAATTATTTGTCCTGAATCGAATGGAAATATGAGGCGGGGTCGTTAATGGTCGTATTATTACTAACACCACACATTCATGTGTAGACAAGCATCAACCCCTGTATATTTTATACTTCATTATTGCGTTCACGGATGGTGTATAAAAAAATGTTAAGCCCGAATTGTATCTCTAGTGCACGCCCAGTGCTTCCCTAATTCACCTACTTTTATTAATACTACTAATTTCAATGTTCGCCATTGAAATGGTGTTAGGCCTTACACTTTCGATGGAAGAAAAAATAGGTAGGAATACACGCATGTTATTTAGTTTAATTTAGTTAACATAACTTTTTTCACGGATGTAAATAAATAATAAAATATAGAATATTTAATGTAAAATCTTATGAAGCATATTAATAAATCAGTTATAAAACATTGTTAAAAACTAAATAAAATGCAACAGATTGCAAACATAACTGTAGTGTTAGGAGCACTAATAATATTTTGTACATAATAATATAACATAATAATATAACAGGTAATTGGCAGAGTGCTTAAAATTTGATGGCTATAATTGTAACAGGGGTCATATAATAATAATACTGTTATATTTATATCTTTATATCTTTAGGCATTGCAATTTACCTACATTTGTCTCTGTCCACCCAAAAGTATAAATGAGTGACTGTTAAGATGATTTGCCGTTGATTGTATTTGTCTGTATCAGCATTACATTGAAAAAAAAAAATAACAAAAAAAAAAAAAAGCCAAAAGGACAATTCCCCATGGATTTGAAGAGGTTGCAATGTGTGGAAGTTCGCTAAATTATGGGTCCAAAGACCAGTGGTGATAACATCTCAGGATGCTTGTATCCCTTTGGAAATAGGCGTGGTACAAATCACCATATTTTTCTTTGTACGTTCGGTAACAGCGTAGTTCTGTTTATTATTGAATTTTCATTTGCTTTTTATAATTTATTATATATTATAAATTTAGTTAAAATATTGAGATAGGTTCCGATATTTTAAATAGAATTTTTAAACCTACCGGAAGTAAAGTATATTCTGGAAAAACAGAATGTGAAGAGTGATTTGTGCTACTGACGGACAGCATCTTTTTTTTCATCAGTCCACTCCATATCATCAATAGCTTGACGTAAAGTGTTGTTTCTTGATGAAGGAATAATACATGATGTATCATAATATTGAGAGTTTGTATGGGCACTGCACTAAATAATGGCATCGAATCACAAAAGCATAAACAACTAAGCTGGCAAGTTACCGAACTATGGAATTAATTAGATTCAGTGACGTTACAGACATCATAGATTTTAGGCAATAACACATCATCTATTCAGCAATTAACCAACGTCAAATTATAGTATAAATTATTGTGTTGATGAAATAAATACTACTGTGGAAGGATTATACCTATTACTACCTGCGGTAGCATTCTTCCAATGAGCTTCTTACGCAAATTGCAGGTCCATACATCCCTGCATGACTGTTCATAATAGGCAAAATTATCAATATAGGTTTATTTCTTAGTGTTTTTATCTCGCGATTTTTCGGGCAACTAAGTGTCACTTACTTTATATTATCCAAGTTAAGAAGTTTTTCTAGGTTATTCGGATTAGGAGTGTTGAAACATTCTCCAGCATTCGCTTTAGGATAGTAGGATAAGAAAGCCAAACACATTTCATCTGTAGTTGCAAGGCCTCCCTAAAAGCAGAAAATAGGTATCGACAGCTATATTGCTCATCAATTAATTATTTGTATGCGTTCGTTTAATTGGTTTGTTGATTAAATAATATTATAATAATGATTGGTTGGTTGTTCAATTTTTTGGTTGTTTGGATAGTTTATTATATGGTTGTTTTTTTGTTGTTGTTTATTTTAATGATAGCTAAATCGCTAATTTTTACAGCTAGTATTTTTTTAATGTATTAAATATTATATAGTATATAATCTGCGCACTTAATTTGTTTAACAAACCGATTGCAAACATGCACTTACATATGTAACTGTTTCTCTATCCATAGTATTGTATGTGCATTCTAGAAGTAGGTCATCTCCCTGTTGTAATAATTAAATAAGTATCATTTATAACATTGTTAAATATATATAGCATGAAAGCTATATTTGTGTTATCTCATAAAACGTTTATACATATCTACTTCCTGCTACAGTATTGCAAAAAACATACATACGACGATTTGTCTGGCGTTACTGTCAGAAGCGACCAAAAGGTAGTGAAGAAGAGCGATGTTTCAGCTTTCGTACACCTAAATCTTTTAAGAGTTTTGCAACATATAAAAAGTTGGATACTACCAAATCCATGAATACACGATTGATTTCAAAATGTGTACAAAAATGAAACAGCTGGTGGAAAATAAATTATTACAGGTTGAATAATTGTTCAAGCCTTGTTTGAACACATACTTTTAATGCCTTTTGTAGTAAAGAAATAGGCTACTCTAGTTCCTGGTATTGTGATCCGATACAGATTCAAGTGTATGGAATAATGAACTGAAAATGTTATGTAGTAAATGTTTATGGTATTTATACATCACTATAGTCGTTTCTTATATAAATCTAAAAAAATAGCACTTGAGTTGAGATAAAGTAAAAAAGTCAAATAGTGAAGGTAGTGGACGTTAGTAACAGCAAGTTCGTATTAAATACTTCTTATAAAAAATGTAGATTCAATTTAAGCTTCTATAGTTTCCAATAATTGGTAATATATTGGTTTTGTATATAGTTAACATGATAAAATTTGGTAATATGGATTTCATTTAACATAGTTTGTTTACTGACATTTATAGTAAGTTGCTTTACGTTGATCCAATTTGATATTTTTTTTTCTCAGATTGCAATTCATAATTTGAAAGGCTTGTTCTTGTGACTACATAACACCGTCACATCATATGCAAACATAATATATGAAGTAGTGTCACCTACATAACTAATTGCACTGGTCCAAGTATAGACCATTGTGGTACTCCACATTTAACAGGATTCTTTTCCGAAACGTTACCATCAATACAAACATATTGTTTTCTATTCTTAAGACAGCTAGCAAATAACATCTAATCCATAGTGTGTCAATTAGTTTAATAGTATTCTGTGTTTGATTGTATCAAATGCTTTAGTTAAAATATAATAAGTACTCCACCAGTACACTCTTTAGTACAGGAAAAATACATCTTGGGGTTGACAAAATTGCATCAGAATTTCTGTTTGCACAGTGCATTTTCGTAAGGTCTCTGTATGAACATACTAAAAGTCTAGAAACATCGACATAGGGAAAGTGCGTTTTTTTTTTTTCAAAATGGCCGCCAAAAATAGCTAGTTTTAACCAAAAATTGAAAAAAAAACTTGGATCTTTTCAACATATTTCAGCTTATTTTTTTATATAAAATATATTTACAAATCCTGAAATTGTTCTGATGCATACGGATACACTTATTTGATGTGGATATCATTAATTTCAAGATGGCTGCCGCAAATACGAGGACATATTGGTGTATGCATAATACGCCAGGCAGCTATTAGTGCCATATGGACGTTTTAGGCAAAAGCACAAACTTTTTACATGCTCCTTATGGTCATAGCATTCAATTTTTGATAGAAACAATTTTATCGGAGGTCATTATGGCAGCCATCTTAGATTTTAAAATGGCCACCTTATAAAACCTATGTATCTTCCTGGTATTATTACCTCTTCTAACTTGGAATTATAATTCTAGTATCTAAATGTTTAAGAAATACTAGCATGCCATTTTTGACCTCTTAAGATTGTTCATTTAAGGTAATTTAATTTAAGGTCATTAAATGAATAATCTGAGCAGATTGTTCATTTAATGTCATTAATTTAAGATCATTCAAGGTCATTCCCGGTCAAATATTGTATGGCATCTTAATAATTACCTGTCATGTTTTACATCTGAACCATACTAAAGCTCTCGAAATTATTTTTTACAAGGAACTATATTACTTCATTCAAGTTCATTTTGGCAGCCATCTTTAATTTCAAAATGGCTGCCATGCAAAAATTATTTTAATATCTTAGCTTTTAGAATCACTTTAAATTAGAATTCTGATGTTTAAAACTATGTTTTTATGATCAAGAAAATATACAATTTGTGACTTAGTCAGATGGTCATTAGGATAATATATAGGTCAGTTAAGGTCATTTTATGATAAATACCATATCAGAGGTCGTTATGATGTCTATTTTAGGTTAAGGTGATTTTGTAGCCAAATTAGAGATGGCCATTGTTACGAAAGTCTAGTGGAAGCTGCCTTTTATGTGCCAGCGGGTTAGACAACTGAACAAGGTACAATGTACAAAACAATTTAAAATAACAATAATTTATTAAACACTTAACCCACACAACGTAGGTACCATTCGCACTGTAGAAGAGGCGCAACTCATCTACCAATAATCTATGAATGGATTTAACAAAATAAAGCAAGGATCTATTATTAAACACTTAACCCACACAACGTAGGTACCATTCGCACTGTAGAAGAGGCGCAACTCATCTACCAATAATCTATGAATGGATTTAACAAAATAAAGCCATGGTATAATAAGAAAAAGGTTCTCATGAGTATACTTGCAAGTAAACGGCCAGACACGTTTCCAACACTGAATAATCCCAAAGGCAGACGCGTACAGCTCCGCTCGTCTATGTTCACACAGTCGCTTCCTCTGACATGAACGACCTCAGACGCGTACAGCTCCGCTCGTCTGGTATACACGTTTAAACAGACTTGCGACGATACACAACACAGCATCCACAGTCGTCTCGATACTCAACCAACACTGGTCTAGATAATCAAGCCTATCCATAAAGCCGTCACAACGGCTAACCAGGAGTAAATTGTTTCAGTGTATTACCAAGGAAGGCCACTGTTAGCCTCGGCTAACTCCCAAACGGATTCCACAACCGCTGAGACTAAAATTTTACCACCTCCGTGGTTACTACCGGCACAAACATGTCCGGCTGCCTACCTGCAGTACACTGAAACAAAACCCTCACTAGCATCACATAACCCCTTACCCAGAGGTGACGGAACTAGGGGGTGCTGTGTTATGGAGAGTAATGTGTGACCGGAAATGGTCTGCAGTCAGTTGGTTGTTACCATGCGCCAGTGATGTTGGAGTATAGTACAGCAATATGAAACTATTATGTAGGCCTAATGAATGAATAAAGTTCGGAGTTTGTCGGGTAGTGAAATGATTATTTCACATTTTAAGTGATCCCTAAATTCATAAGTGTAAGCTAAATTACGGTGATTAATTTAATTAGCGAAAATATGGAGACAATTATTTCCAATCCCTCTTTCCAAGAGGGGATGCAAATGCTTTGTGAAAATGAGTACGCCGCGGTACTCATTTTCACAAAGAAATACACACAACTAGTTAGCTAACAATTATGTCAATGTTACATGAACACCTGGCAAGGAAGGTGCAATCACGTTGTTACCTAGCAAACGTCTGAACTGTATGGGGGAGGGGCTGCTGATGTACTGTGTAGTGGGGGACGATGAGGCATAAGACTAGGCCTAGGCCAAACTAAGACAGTGGAATTATGTGATAGAAAGTACACTTTCGGAAGAAATAAATTAAAATAAGAAAAAAAAAACAAAAAACTAAGAATAATTCATTTGCATAGGTACCTTATTTAAGTACAGTATTATACAATGCTAACAATGAGGCTCTTGTGGCCCTGGCTTGGGCAAGGCATCCATGTGCAAAGCAGTGGTGTTTGTTTATCCATAAAAGCACGCCGGGAAAGTTTGCCTTACCAGGAAAAGGTGACGTATCTAGCCTATGACGTATGCACGCTAACTAATATGAGTGTGACGTCACCAAAAATTGAATATTTTCTATTATAACCAAAATATTAATAACTACAAAGTTTCTGGGCGTAAATTCCCTTAATATGAATGAAGGGTTGCTCAACCTCCTTGCCATACAAATTACAGCTCCCACTGACGTCTCTGTCGAGAAATACGGGTAACTGAAGTTTTTCTCGCAAATCTGACTACAAAACCATATCCAAATTTCACGTTCCACTTTTGAACCTGAGTTATGCTTCGCATTTGCCGCTGAGGGCGGCGTTCCGGGACCCTGCGTCAAGACCAATTTGCATATTAGTCGACCCATCTGCACCAAGTAAGTTTACAATAACAAGTATGGAACGCCAAAAATGCCTTTAGGGACACCAAAATTGCTGGTTTTCATGACAGCCATAAAAACATATATTATGTTTACTTTACATAATCAAATATTGACTTTACCAATTGTGACATGGTCAGACGATTATTATAGTCATAAAAAATAGGTTAATTAATGTCATTTAATTACGTTTCAGGTCTAATATTGTATGACATGTTAATAATGAACCTTTTCGAGTTTCAATTTCAAGATTCCATTTATTGTCATATACAAGCTAAGTACACGAAATTTCCTTTACAGGGCGAGAATTACAGAAAAATATACCCACAGATGAAAATACAAGACAACTATAAATATAAAAGTATACAGTGCAAAAATATGCAATATATACATTACAGTTTAAGTGTAAAAGATTTAAAATATAAAAGACCGAAAAAGATATGACTATCTGGTGAATACTTTGTTAAATAGATGACAAGCATATATAGATGAATGATCGAGTAGAATCGAATAGATAGTTTCATCTGGTTTTGTAATGGTGTATATATATATATATGTATACTGTCTCTTATACACATCTAGATGTGTATATAAAATCAAACGGATATTTCAATACCTTCCTCTATCTTTATCAACATTAAAGTTATATATATATACTGTAGGTGAGGAACTGTTATAATTGCTTTTTCAGCTAGTATATAAGATTTTTTTTTTTTAAATGTTTTCCTATATAATAATAGTGTGCTTACGGTGGTCGGTATAATTCACCAAGGAACAAAGCCAAGGAAAGAATGCAGTATTTTTACCTCATACATAATTGAATGACATTAAATGACCTATTTATGACTATAATTTCCTGACCATGTCAGAAATTATACAATGGTAT